CAATGTAAATATATTGTTCTTTATGTAGTGGCTGATATAGGCTATTTTTATCTATAATGTTGCATAAATAAATTATTTTTCCCAATAGGAATTAAAATATTTTTGTTAATAGAAGTATTTTGCATTAACTAACAAATATAACTTCATGAACTACCCTTACATATTATCACTACACATGGTGATTATTTTAATGTTCAACTGTCAGATTGATTTTTAACCTTTTACATTTTAAAGTTGAACCATGGCAAGATCTGCAGAAGACCTTGCATGGCAACATGGGGTCAGACTTGATCCCAACAAAAAAGATAAAATTATTTGTAATTACTGCCAAAAAGTGATAAGTAGTGGAGTACATAGGTTCAAACAACACTTGGCAGGGGTTAAGGGAGATGTTTATGCGTGCAATAGCATCCTTAATAATGTAAGAAATCAGATGGCGGCATTTCTCAAGGCTACCAAAGGAAAAAAAATTGCAAGGTAGATGATGGATGAGAAGATAGCTAGTTTATATACGTCATCAAGTGGGAATGATCTAGAAGAGCAATATAATAATGACTTGGAGATGGCCACAAGAATGGGTTTACATGAAACATACCAGAGGGAATGCGGGTTTAAAATGCCTGGTGGTTATGACATAGGCATGTATGGTGAGCCTAGCTCAGACATGCATGGCGAGCCCAGCTCGAGCATATATGGGGGGTCCAGCTCAAATATGTATGGAGGGGTTGGTGGCAATATGTATCAAGAAGAATCAGACGTTGAAGAAATTGTTTCTAAGTTACCTAGGAGAGCCAGTATTGCAAGTCATGGTCGTATAGACCCATGTCTCTCAAAGCCTAAGTCACAACATATGACCCTAAAAGGCATGGTTAAAGTTACAAGAAACATGTTGAGGAGATATGTTGGTAAATGGTTTTACGATAAAGGGATTCCTTTTGATGCAACCAATAGCCTATATTTTCCACCTATGGTCAGTGCAATCCAAAGAGCCGAGCCCGGGGTAAAACCTCTGACGGCATATGAGCTTAGTGGGCTAATATTAGATGAAGAGTTGGAGGAAGTTACAAAGTGAATTGAAGAATATAAACAGAGTTGGCCAATGACAGGTATTACTCTCATGAGTGATGGTTGATTGAAAAAAGTTGGCAAAAAGGAGTTTTTAAACTTCTTGGCCTATTCCCCAAAAGGTATTGCTTTTTTGTCTAGCAAAAACGTATCAGGGACGAAAAATGATGCAAACTTCTATGTACGACTATATGATCAGATAGTGGAGGAGGTGGGAGATAAGCATGTAGTCTAGTTTATTACGGACAATGCGCGTGCATGTGTTTCTGCGGGCAGCAAGTTAATGGATAAGAGGAAGCATCTAGTATGGACCCCGTGTGCTGCACACAACATCGATCTTATGTCAGAAGAGATCGGTGAGATCAAAATTGTGAAGGAGACTAGAGGAAGCAAGGTTGGTGTCGAGATTTATATACAACCACTCTAAAATTTTATTTTTGTTTAGAGAACACTATAAGAAAAAAGAGATAATCAGGCCTGTCATAACCTGCTTTGCGATTAATTACTTAGCTGTGGACTCCATTCGGGAATCTGAAGGTGCATTAAAGAGATTGTTTACCTGTGAAGAGTGGTTAAATGACCGCCTCTCGAAGTCCAGTACCGGTATAAAAGTGGACAACATAGTCTCAAATAGGAGGTTATGGTCTCGATGTTCCAGTATTGTAGAGGCACTGCCCCTTTGATCACGGCATTAAGCATGGTAGATGCTGACAAGAAAGCTACCATGGGCATCCTTTATGACGGTATCAAGACGGCGAAATCAGCTATTGGGGAGAAGTGTAGTTTTGCTAGCAAAGTGATCGAGATTATAGAAAGGAGGTGGAACACCAAATTTGGATGTCTAATCCATTATGCTGGTAAATATATATTTATATCATTAGAATATTTCATTTTTAATCATTTTTTTATGAAATTGTAAATGACATTTTTCTATCTATATATTTTCTAGGTTACTACTTCAACCCAAAATTTTTCTATTTGACACCTAAACATCCCCACAAGATTATGGAAGGGGTCAGATACATTATTGCAAGGTTGGAGGAAAGCCATCGAAACCAAGTAGCAGCAATACAAGAGGTATTATTTAATGATTGGATAAGAACTTCATTGAGTTGTTATATTTGTGAGGAATAATGCACTAAAACGAAATATATTTGTTTTAACTTGCTATGTATAGGGATGCTATAGGATCCTTCGTAACTACTTGCCAGGAATTTTCGAATTAAGATGGATCCAAGTTATCCCCTCGCTAATATTTTTTTCATTCATATATTTAATCTTATGAATTGTTCTTGCTCTTACAATGTTGTTTGCATTTTAATCCAACTGAATGGTGGGAGATATATGGTATTGATGCACCTCACCTAAAGAGGATAGCAATCAAGGTGCTCTCTCAGACATGTTCTGCTACTGGCTGTGAGCGCAACTGGAGTACGTTCCAATAGTTGCACACTACTAGGAGGAATCGACTCGCCTCGAAAAAGCTTCATAAACTAGTCTACGTTCATTATAACTTAAACTTTCGAGAGCGACAAATAAGAAAGAAGCTTGAAGACTATGGGCCGATAGACTTAGATACAATATTTGTCACAGACACAGCAGACCAATGGGTAGTAGAAGAGGATGAGCCCGTGTTGCACAAGAGAGCGTTCCTTAAGGCTATTGGTGAGGAAGATCTTGAAGAAAGTGATGAGCAGCATGAAAGAGGAAACAACCACCTAACGTATCCACAATTCGTCGGAGATGTGGGTTATATTACACCTAATGAGGGAGAATGGGAAAAGGGTTTAAGGGAAAATGAAAGAGATGATGGTTCTGAGGCCACCCTATCCTAGCCATATTATTCACATATCGAGTCCCAACAGCAACAGTGTAGGGATGAGCACGACAGTGTAGGTGACCATGAAGGATGGACAAGCTTCGGGGATTTTGGATTGGAAACACAACAGAACACTAACACTCAGGGATTTGGGTATAGTCAGACGCATGCTAATATCGATGATTCGTTTTTAGATCGAATCAATGAATTTTCAAACGAATTCAATCAATGGCACCAGCGTGACCAAGAAGAAGAACGACGTCGTCTGTCATTTTATTTTTAGATCGTATGTTACTAATTGTATGCTTTATTGTAGTCTATGTATGTTGATATACTTATTCCATGATAATTCTATGTTTATCCTTCTGCTTGATGTAAATTAAATGATAAATAGTAGTTCATGCAGGAAATGAAAATTCTTAATGGAGTACCCTCATTTCTTAATGAATTTCTAAAAAAACAATATTTATAATGAATTTTAATAAATTTTTCGGATTTTTTTGAAGCTTTATTCTGACCGATTCACCCTACTCCCGATCCGGATCGTCGATTTGCGGATCCGGATCGGTTTTTTAGGCACCCGATCCGGGTCACTGATCCGCTTTTTAAGCCATTGGTTTAGATGATTTGTTGCAATATACATTATTTTTAGAATTTGAAATCCTAATATAAAAAAAAATTAAAAAAATCAAAGTAAATAAAGTCTCACCTCATAATTCATCCAAACTTATAATTTAAGCATTGAAAAACCTTTACATCAATCACTTTGACTTGAACATTATGATTGCAAAAAAAAAGGAAAAGATATTTCAAGTTTTAGAAATAATATATATTGTAACAAATTATCTAGACCGGCCATGTCATCTTTATACCATTTTTTAGTTTCAAAATTTACTATAGAAAAAGTTTATATAAA